TGATAGGATTGCTAAATTGTATCGAGTACCTAGATGAGATTGGTAACTCAGGAAATGCAGAGTGAGTGTATTATTCTCAGTTGCACTTAAGAGTTTGAATGCAGGCAGGGAGAATGTATTAATGATAAGCTATAAAGTCCATGAAACTATAGGGCTATGGGACAAGGGTGCTTAGAGTACTAAAAGAGTCTATGAAAGGCCGAACCATGGAATGTAACCTGGGTAGTAAGTAAAATGGCATACTACAAATAAATCAAGAAGGAAAAAAAGGAATGGAGAAAAAAGACCATTGTTCACTGGAGGGAATTTCTGTGTTACTTATATGCATTTGCCATAGATAGTTCCTAGCATGAGTTAAGAATTTACTCCCACCTACTCCTCTGCTACCACTTTGCTAGGTTATTGACATTCTTTAAAAGTGGTAATTATTATTATTTTTTTATTTATTGATTTTAGAGAAATGAAAGCAGGGAGAGAGAGATGGAACCCACAGTCTTGGCATATCAGGACAGTGCTCTAAACCAACTGAGCTACCTGGCCAGAGTGTAATGATTAATTTTATAACTTTTTTAAAGCAATACCTTAATTTTAAGTTAAACCTACATTTATAGCATTAAATTTATCTAGCTATCTCTCTATACACACTCCCCCCACCCCAACTTTGTTTTCTGAAATTCCAGTCTACAATGAGAATGATATGGTTCTTTTATAGTCCATTTTCATCATAGGTTTTGGGATATGCATGAAAGGAATTGTACAGAAAGAAGTAACATAGTTTGGTGTGACTCCAGAAAAAAATATTTTTGGAGATAATAAAGGAGATAAATTGACAGTTATACCACAGTTGCTGACCTCTTTAGGACTTCAGTAAAAAGAAAATAAATTTCTTTTCACTACATGTTCATTTGCCAGTAACAAAAGAGAGAGGTAATATAAACCAGGGAAAGCAATAGAAAATGTGGAGGATAGTTCCTAAAATGCTTTCCTCCCCAGTCTCAGTTGATTTTCATTTCTATACTAGGCAGTTTAATTGATCTGCCTTCACAGATGATTAGATTGAGGCTCAGAAGTTCTCTAACCTGCCCAAGGCTCCATAAGTTACTCTTACTGAAGAGCCTATCTTTCCTGAAGCAGAAAAACTCAACTGTGTATAGGAGCCAGGCTGATAAAATGAGTTAACTGGCCAAATAAATAAATAAGAAAGATAAAACACATAACCATGAGTGTCTTATTTTAGACCTAACTACTGTTTTCTGTTCGATGAGGGAAAGAATTTGGACCAAGAAGATGCCAGTAAGGAAAAAGCAAGAGGAACAAAATTTGGAGGCCTCTGTAAATTCAAAGTGTAGGTGGAAGGGAGTAAAGAAATGAAAAAAAAGGAGAAGAAAGATTGGCTCAGCACCCTGAAAAGGTTCCTGGGACAAGGCATTGGGGAGATGGAGTGGTTGAAGATTGTAGTCAAAACGAAAGTTGATTATAGCCAAAGGGGAGAATAGTTGTAGCAAGTTTCAGGTTTTATTGACTGAAGAGGAAATTCCTTGGTGTTGAAGATCTAAACTGAGTGGAGGAAGTTAAAGATTGTCAACATAGATGCCAAAATTACCAAAGACGATCGCAGTGGGGAGAGGAAGATGAGCTTGGTGTAAATTTTTTATACATTAGCAACAGTGAAGATGCAGGTGTGGATTTCAAAGGAAGATGTAGAAAAATGGTGGTCATGGAGTATTTTTTCCAAAGCAGCAATATAGAGTAAGGTCATTGTAGCCCTTTTACTTTTTGAGTAGAAACAAGTCAAAGGAACAGTACTTGAGGGAAGGTTGTAAGAGAGATGATTGGGGGTGGGGAGGGAGTAGTTAAAGGTAGACGGAGAAAAGGAGTGCTTGAGAAAGAGGTGGAAAATATATGTTGGTGATGCGTAGGGTCTAGAAGAAGATGACCAACTAGCAATGAAGTTAATGTGGAGAGGGGGAAGGGCTGAGTTGAATGAGAGTGCTGGAGGGATTTGCAAGGGGAAGGTAGTTTGTACCTTAAGGCAGTCATGTTGTATAGACAGATAGATAGATATAGATATAGATGTATATATGTGTATAGGAGTAGGGAAACCAGAGTTTGCTAGTTAGGCTAAAGCAGTCGCCTCCAAACTTTTCTCATCATTGATTAAAAAAAAGTTTGAAGTCACTTCCATATATGTGTATTTAGTTATCAACTGTATGCATATGCTACTATAACTGTATATTAATAGTTATTTTCAATAAAAAATTAAAAAGAAAAAGAAAATCTTAATATTTTTTCACCTCATATTCCACTGTGGAGACCACTGGCTAGAGGGACATGTTAGTCATTTAGGGCACAGGTACAAAGCCTGTTTGGTTTTATGACTGCAGAAATGTAGAAAGAACTGACTCCAAAGTTCCAGTTGGATGTTGGTGTTTATGACGTGACTTCCGTAGTAGTCTTGTGATGTGGTTGCTGGCTCTTGTCACTAGTCTGTATTGCACGCCTTTAATCTCTGATTATGGAAATGCATAACAGTAAACACTTTGCTTCTGTTTTTTAGCATAGAATTTCAAGTAATGGTTTTTCTAGAATATTATAAGGAATTGTCTAGGTATCAACCCTTCGGTCAGTATATCATAAAACATTGTTCTGGATAAGTAAACTGTTATGCTCCTATAAAAAGTTAGGTCAGTAGAAAGACTAGGCTGTGTTTCCCTTGTGTACTCAGGAAGAGAAGTGATTTTACCCTTTTTATTGTGGACATTTTAATGAGGAGCTGTTTTCTCCTCAGAATATGTATTGTGACCAGCTCCATGAATAAATTTAAAAGTAACATTTCTGTACTTATTATTATATATAGATGATGTACACATTAATACATTCTTAAGAAATGACCAAGGTTGCTTCTCAATTTTTGTTAAATTCTTATTAATATAACTGTGGTAGTTTATTTTTCTTCTCATAGGTGATTCATATATTTTAGTAGAGCACTGAATTTGACAACAATTTTGAGATCAGATAGTTACCTAATTCTTTCTTGAAAACTTAAAAACATAAAAAGTCGGGGGTGGGGAGTATGTGTGTGTGTGTCTGGGTGTGTCTGGGTATGTGTGTCTGGGTCTGTGTGTGTTTCATGTCAAGATTGGAGAGGGCTTTGGGGGAAAGTAGATGGAGAAGGAACAAATAAAATCCATTTTCAGGCTAAGCTCTCAGGTGCCAAGATTCAACCTACAGCAAATTTTAATGGCTTTGTAAACCTCTGAAAATGGGAGATTACTGTGTAATTGCTGACAGATCCTTAACTCTAGCAGTACAAGTGTGTTGCATTATAATATTAACCTGAAAGACAGAAGAATATTTCAAGCCATAGAATATTGATCAAAGGATTGAGCACAAAGTATGTATTTTTATTTTAATAATTCCTTGCCTGGAGAAATATTTGAAAAAGTGGCAACCAGAAATAGAACCACAAGGACAGCACTGGTATTAGTGGAAAACAAAATTTTTTAACGTTTTGGAATTTCATAAGCCTTTAAAGTATTTCTTTACTCTTTTTAAGCTCCTTAGGCCACAGAGCATTATCATAAGCACTAAGAGGGGGGGTGTGGGGGGGTGTGTGTGTGTGTGTGTGTGTGTGTGTGTGTTTCTTTATTTATTTTATGTAGCTATGACACTATCCCTTAGAGACCTTGACCTTGCTTTTTAAAAATAGGTTAAGGCAGTCACCTTGGCTGGTATGGCTCAGTGGATTGAGCACGGGCCTGTGAACAAAAAGGTCGCTGGTTCTATGCCCAGTCAGGGCACATGCCTGGGTTGTATGCCAGGTCCCCAGTTGGGGGTGTGCAAGAGGCAGCCACACATTGATGTTTCTTTCTTTCTCCCTCCTCTCCCCTCTCTCTAGAAATACATAAATAAAATCTTTAAAGAAATAGGTTAAGGCATGAGATACCACAATCTAAATGTGATTCAGTAAGATTAGCATTAGTATGATTTTGAGGCATTCAAGATTGGAGATGAGAAACAAGGAGAGAAAAGAGCGGAGGCAAAAGCTGCAGCACTGCCCTTTTATAGGTCATTACTTAATGCATCTTCTAGCCATTGCCTCCCTGTGATGCCCTGCCCCACACTAAATATTTCCCCCTCCCGCTTGTTATAGAAATAAGGTTTGAGAAGGCATTTTGACATAAAGTAAACTTGATCTGAACACATCAGGTTCATGTGTACTGAACTGTGTGTGTGTAAAATCTCGGGCTGTTTTAGTCCAGAATGCCAACATTTTTTTATGTGTTTTATTAACTAACAATACCAAATAATAGAAAAAAACCATCTCTACTTTATGAAATCAACTTACAAATGGCAAGCTCAAATTAGGAAGATGTTCCTGGGTTTACAGAATTGTTTGCTAAAGAAAGGCTAGTTATTTAGTCCAAGTAAGAAATTTTAATAACACCAGACAAGGATTTAAAGAATAATGGTTTAATCTTTCAGAAGACTAATCAGCGACATTGTGTTCTAACAAAATGGCTCTTATGGCTAAGTATCACTAGATAGTAAAAACGAATGAAAATCATACCTTAACATTTTTCTTAGTATCTTTTTCACAAATTTAGATACCTTTTTCTTCACTGGTTTTTAATTTGGGTTGTGCTGGGGGCGGGTGAAGGTGGTCATTGACTTTTTGAAAAATGAGACCTCTTCTCCCCAGGGGAGGAAAATGTTTGCAAATATGTAAGTATATATTTTTAAATTAAGTTAGGGAGGATATTTGTGGCAGGGAGGAGCTTATCTGAATACAGACACACAGAAAACTGATAATAGTCTTGCATCAGGGGACAAAAACTAGATATGCCAGTGTTAAGAAGGAAATTTACTTCTATTTGTAATAACCATTTGGATATTGTAAATTTTGTATCATGTGTTCTACATTACTTGTTATAAACAAAATAAATTATAAATTTATAATTTATAAATCTCTAGATTACCCGCCTCTTTTTTTCTTTCAGGTGTTTGCAATGGCTGCTACTGTGAACTTGGAACTTGATCCCATTTTTTTGAAAGCACTAGGCTTCTTACATTCAAAGAGTAAGGATTCTGCCGAAAAGCTAAAAGCATTACTTGATGAATCTTTGGCTCGGGGCATTGATTCAAGTTACCGTCCATCTCAAAAGGTACATAAGTGAATAAAAAGCTTAGAGGGAGTATTGTAAGGCCTGTAGTAGTGCAGTGTTAACATTTAGACCATCTTAAAATAATCTCTCTGTCAAAATCTTTCCTCTGGCATGCAGGGATTGTATTCTTTAATTTTGTTTTCTTCTTTCAAGTTTTTAGAGAACTATACGTAGAAAAGAAAGCTGAGTATAGAGATATTCTGTTCTACCGCTTTATGTGTATGAAAACGCATCTGTTTATGATACATTTTAATTTCAAGTTTTTTATGACCGTGTATGTGTGTGTGTATGTTTAAGCTGCTGAATGAAACTGTACCTTGTAATTATCTTCTAATGTTTATGGGGCAAAATGAAAAATCATGAAGTAGAAGGACAGGGATTTTGCAGTGAAGTGAATTGAATATGTATAGGAAAATTTAAGGAAAAAAGGAGGCCTGGGTGAACTATGAGATAGCTCCAATCCTGATAATAACGAAGTGACCAAGCAGCTTAATATGAAAAAAATAGACATATTGGGAACAGACACATCTGTTGTAAATCCCAGCTTGCCTCTTACTAGTCATGTGGTAATAGATAATATATCCTGAGCATTAACTCTGTCCTAGGTACTTTTCTGAGTGGTGCATGTGTATAATTTTAATTGTAATAACTGCCCTTTGAGATAGGTACTGTTTATTCTCTTATTTTACAATAAGGAAATTGATGTACATAGAAGCTTTATTTCATTATCCTCCTTTTCTTTATTAGTAAAATGGGGATAATAAGCACTACCTTGCAAAGTTGTGAACATACAAGAGATAAAGTATATAAGTCAGCTAGTATAGTATCTGCAAGGTACACAATAGGCTCTTAGTGAATGACAGTTGTTATTATATCCTCTAATGCCTTCCAAGACATTCTTTTAAACCTTTCTAAACCTCTAGCTCTGAAACTCCCAAGTCACCTGGGTCTGTGAACCTAGATACCAAATTGAAAAGGAGAGGACAGAGCTAAATAACTAGCCCAGTCTAACCCAGAATCTCAAACTCAAGACAGAGTCAGTGTCAGGCTCAGGACCCAAGTAAACAGCCTTCTTTTAACATTAGTTCTGGTACTTTCAAGACTTTATTGTGACCTCATTTTTCTACCATTCTCATTGTGGTACATTCAGTGAGTTCAAACCAAGCAAGTTAATATAACTATAAAACACACTGCCAATATCCTTCTTCTCTAAGTATTGGTATTTTCCAAATAGGAAAGACCTGCTATTACTAAAGCAGTAGTATTTTGAAATTATAAAACAAAAGGAAGTTCATCTGTTAAAGTACAGGAAGAATTTGTTGTTAAAAAGCCTGCCGCCTTTACTTTTCTAACTGGAAGTTACTTCTCTTGCTTGTTCAGAGAAAATACTCATGGGGGGCAGGGGAGCATTTAAAAAACATAGGTTCATTTAATTTTAGCCTTCAGCTGAACATTTTCACCTCTAGAATTGTGTGAGAATGATTTAAACCACAGTTTTTCGAATTTCAGCATTTGTAAGAGTCACCTGGTGGCAGTGGTCTGCTTATAAACAGTAACATCTGGCTCTTTGAGTGTAGTTCCAACATAAAAATTGGTTGATGTTTTCATTTATATCAATGAGTAAGTCAAATGTGAAATAATGAAGTTAGAACTTAACTCATCCAGTGATGACCTGAGCAACTTCTTTGCTGAATTATGTAATAGTTTTTAAATACTGCAAGACTGTCCTCAATTTTTTATGCTCCAGATGCAATACAATTTTAGGTTTAGTCTGCATCATTAACATTTTCTTCACTTTTTGTAAGTCTACACTGAGTCATCACCAAACTTTCTGACAAGAGTCAAATAGTAAATATTTTTAGTTTTGTGGGCCAGTTGGTCTTTGTCACAACTATTTAATTCTGCCATGGTTGCATGAAGGCAGCCATCGATAATACATACATGAGTGAATATTGCAGTGTTTTAATACAACTTTAAAAAAACAGGCAGTGGACCAGATTTATCCTACAGGCTTTAGCTCTCCAACCTCCAATCTAAACAGTCAGCCCAAGAGTAAAGCAAGCCCTGCTACCCATAGGCCTAAAGCCCATTTCTCATTATTTCTTCCTCTATGATAATGCATAAAAGTATTATCAGAAAAACAGACTGCATTCTGATGTAAATTTACTTAGAACAGTAGGGAAATACCCTCTTTTGGAGGAAGGGGGTGGTGATTATAAGGAGCTACTGTATATGTAAACTCTTTATACTATTAATAACAATTGATACTAAGTACATAATCAGCAAAACTATAATGTAAGAATAAGGATTAGAAGTTTAAAACAAAATGAAAGACAAGCCACAGACTTAGTAGGAAATATTTGCAAATCATGAATCTGATAAAGGACCTGTGTCAAGAATCTTTGAAGAACTCTTTTTTTAAAAAGATTTTATTTATTTATTTTTAGAGAGGGGAAGAGAGGGAGAGAAACATCAATGTGTGGTTGCATTTTACACGCCCCCTGCTGAGGACCCGATCTATAACCCAGGCATGTGCCCTACACTGGGAATCGAACTGGCAACTCTTTGGTTCACGTGCAAGTGCTAAATCCACTGAGCCACACCAGCTAGGGCTCTATGAAGAACTCTGAAACTCAATAATAAAACAAACAAACCCATTTCTAAAATAGGCAAAAAATTTTAACAAACAAAATTATGTATGGTATAAATAAGCACTTGAAATTCTCAACATCATTAGTCATTAGGGAAATATAGATTAAGTTCACAGTACTATACTAGTAAATACCTATTATAATGTCTAAAATTAAAAAGATTAGCGATACCAACCAAGTGTTGGTGATGATGTGAGGGACTTGAGGCTCTCATGTACCCCTGGTGGAAGTGTAAAATGCTATACCATTGTGGAACATGATTTGACAGTTTATTAAAAAGGTAAAAACTTACACCTACTGCATGATTCAGTCATTCTACTCCAAAACATTTATTCTAGAGAAATCAAAGTATATTCCTACAAAAGCCTTGCACATGAACATTCATAACAACTTATTTGTAATAGCACCAAACTTCATACAACCCAAATGTCCATCAATAGGTAAATGGATAAACAGATTGTGGTATAGCAACTCAGTGTACTACTATTCATCAATATAAGGTATGAATTGTTATACTCAACAACATGGATGAATTTCAAAATAAATATGCTGAGTGAAACAAGACCAAAAAAAGAGCACATGCTGTATGACTCCATTTATATAAATTTCTAGGAAATACAAACTAATCCATAGTTACATAAGGCAGATCAGTGTTTGTCTGAGCATGGGAGGGTATGGTTTCTCTAGCGTGTATATCTCTAGGAGTGATTACAAAGGGCCACAAGGAAGCTTTGGACGGTGATGCTATTGCTTAAAGTGATGGTTTCACAGGTATGATTTATCAAATTTTATGCTTTAAATAGGTGCAGTTTATATATCATTTTTTTCCTTCCATTAAGCTGTTTAAAGAAAAGGACATTAGTCACAACATGATGTCTTAATTTTCAACTGAAAAGTCTTTAGATTTATGATATACTCCTTTAAGATATGTTAGATAGTCTAAATATTTAATTACAGGTATCCTTTTATTTCAACTTTTAGGATGTCGAACCACCCAAGATTGCAAGCACAAAAACTGTTTCTATTAAGCAAGAGCCCAAAACATCATCCAGTCTTCCTTCTGGCAATAATAATGGCAAGGCTCTCACAACCGAAAAGGTAAAGAAGGAAACTGAAAAGAGACCTGCTGATAAGGTAAGATTTTATTGTAATCTAGTAAAAACACAAAGTAAATTAGTCCTTTATAGGTAGAAATGATGTTTTGTGCTTCTTTTATATAATAGTGGGTAAAAAGTACATAATAATCATTTGGTAAATATATTTTGATAATTATTGATGTTGATTTATTTTTTGAAAAATGAGTAAAATTTGGAAATATTTTTACCCATTGACTGAAGTCATTGTCAACAAATACCGAACCCTAGAGCATGTACTAATTTCAAGTATTTAAATTTTAATTCATGACTCAAATAGTCTAGATGGAACAGCTGACAAGATAGAAAAGAATAAAGGAATTAATAAAGAAAGAATAAAGCATAAATGACTAAATGTGAAATTTGTTTCAAAATGGCATGTACTGTAACAGGACTGCAAATAATTCTTGGATTGTCTATTCTGAATGATTTTTGTACATTGTTAATTTTTAAGCTATTAGCACTTAGTAGTGACTATGTTAAAAAATTTTTTTTAATAACCCTTGCCCTCAAGGTGGGATATATGTGTCCCACATATTTTCATACTTTTTCTAAACATTTTGGCTATTTAAAAACTATTTTGTATTGTTTTCTGTGCTTTTAAATTTATATAAATGCTATATTGTATGTATGTATATGTATATATGTGTGTATGAAACTTGAGTATGTTGATACATGTAGATCTGAACAATTCAGGTACCATATAATATCCATTTCATAAATAAATCAGTTTATCCACTCCCCAACTAATGACCCATTAGCTTATTTTTCCTTATTCTCTATTATAGTGAAGCTTCAATAAGCTGTTCTGTACTTATCTCCGCACATGGTGATAGCTTCAATATGAATGTATACCTGTATAAAAGGATGCAATAAGACAGATACATCTTCAACTTTACTAGGCAAATTACTATCCAAAGTGGATGTACAGTACTAAATTTACACTCCCACCAATAAAGTATAAGAATTCCAAATTCCAGATTATTTAATTTTTTCCAGTCTGACAGGTATATCTATAACATTTTTATCTTAAAGACAGGAGACAGAATTTGCTTGGAAGTAAATATGGCAATATATTAAGTCTAGATAACTGGTAGATAGCTTATTATATATTTCTTTTCAATATGTTTCTTTTAATTTGTATTTTTTATTTTTTTCAATTACATTTATATTTAGTATCATAATACTTTCTGGTACACATCATAGTGATTAGACAATCATAAACTTTACAAAGTGTTTCCCCCAATATTTCCAGGACCCACCTGGCACTGTACATAGTTATTAAAATATTATTGACTATATTTCCTATGATATATTTTACATCCCCCTGACTTTTTCTAACTACCAATATCTACTTCTAAATCCCTTCGCCTTTTTCACTCAGCCACCAATGCCCCTCCCTCGGGCAACCATAATCTGTTCTCTATATTTATGAGTCTGTTTCTGTTTTGTTTGTTGGTTAGATTCCACATATTGTTCTTTGGGTTCCACATATAAGTGAAATCATGTGATATTTGTGACTGATTCATTTCACTTAGCGTAATGCCCCCTGGGTCCGTCCATGCTATTGCAAATGGTATACCATTTTTATGGCTGAGTAATATTCCATTGTATATGTGTACCATAGCTTTTTTGTCCACTTGTCTGTTGATGAGTACTTGGATTGTTTCCATACCTTCACTATTGAAAATAACACTGCAATGAATATAGGGATGCATATATTCTTCAAATTAACATTTTGGATTTCTTCAGATATATACCCAGAAGTGGAGTCGCTGGATCATAAGGCAGATCCATTTTTTATTTGGGGGGGAAACTTCCGTACTCTTTCCCATACCGATCTGCATTCCCCCAAACAGTGCATGAGTGTTCTCTTTTCTCCATATCTTCCCCAGCACTTGTTTTTTGATTTACTGATGAAAGTCATTCTGGCTGGTGTGAGGTGATACCTCATTGTCGTTTAATTTGCATTACTTTGATGATTACTGACATTGACTACCTTTTCACTTATCTTTGGCTATCTCTATGTCCTCTCTGTAAAAGTGTCTGTTCAGGTTCTTTGCCCATTTTACCCCTTGTAAGATGTCCCATTGGTGAATATGTTGTTCTATTCAGTGGATTGTCTTTTCATTTTGTTAACGGTTTCCTTTGCTGTGCAAAAACCTTTTTAGTTTGGTGTAATCCCATCTGTTTATTTTTCTTCTGTTTCCTTTGCCCCAGGAGATATATTAGAAAAAAATATATGACTAATAGAAATGTGTGAGATTTTTATTGCCTGTGTTTTCTTCTAGGAGTCTTATGGTTATAAATCTTACATTTAAGTCTTTAATCCATTTTGAGTTTATTCTTGTATAAGCTATAAGAAAGTGGTCTAGATTAATTTTTTTTTTTGCCTGTATCTTTCTAGTTTCTCCTACAACATTTATTGAATAGACTGTCTTTACCGCATTGTATGTTCTTGCTTCCTTTGTCAGATGTTAATTGATCATATATGTAGTCATGGGTTTATTGCTGGGTTCCCTGTTCTGTTCCATTTGTCTATGTCTGTTTTTGTGCTAGTACTATTCTGTTTTGATTATTATGGCCTTATAGTATAGTTTGCTATCAGATAGTGTGATATCTATAACTTCATTCTTCTTTCTCAAGAATGCTAGAGCTGTTTGGGGTCTTTTTGTGGTTCCATATAAATTTTTGGATTATTTGTTCTAGTTCTGTGAAATACACCAATGATGTTTTGATAGGGATTGAATTGAATCTATAGATGGCTTTGGGTAATATGGACATTGTAACAATGTTCACTCTTCCCATCCATGAATATGGTACATGATTCCATTTATTTGTAACTTCTTCAGTTTCTTTCTTCAGTGTCTTAAATTTTTTTTTGAGTACATGTCTTTAAATCCTTAGTTAAATTTATTCCTAGGTTTTTAGTTTTTTGGGTTTTTTAAAAATGCAATTGTGAATGGGATTGTTTTCTTAGTTCTCCTTTCTGATAGCTCATTATTGGTGTATAAAAATGCAAACAATTTCTGGATATTTATTTTGTATCCTGCTAGTTCACTGAATTTATTCCATCAGTTCCTGTGGGTTTTTTTTGGTGGAAGTTTAGAGTTCTCTCTATATATATCATATCTGCAAATAATGACAGTTTTACTTCTTCCTTTCTTTTGGATGCCTTTCATTTTTTCTTGACTGATTGCTGTGGCTGAGACTTTCAGTACTATGTCTAAGAGTGGTGAAAGTAGACATTCCTGTCTTGTTCGTGATCTTAAGGAAAACGCTTTTAGTCTTGCCCCATTGAGCATGATATTAGCTGTGGATTTGCCATATATGGCCTTTATTATGTTGAGATATGTGCCCTCTATTTCTTCTTTGCTGAGAGTTTTTATCATAAGTGGGTGCTGCATTTTGTCAAATACCTTTTCTTCATCTATTTGTATGATCATATGATTTTCATCTTTCATTTTCTTTATGTTTAGTAATTCATAACTTAAAATATTTAAGGTAAAAATAGCCATTAAAAGTAACTTTTTTAATGCTATGGCTTTTCAATTTAAAACATATCACAGGGAAAAAAAAAAAAAGGTCAGTGTAAGGAAATTCATTGAACTTCCAGAATTCTTTAATGGCTAAAGGGGTACAGAGAAAAACACAGATACATACTAAACTGTTCTGATTTATTTATTTTTACCTTGCTGGTTTCCTTTAACATACTGATTATGAATTTGTTATAAATGTACATATCTTTAGTGCGTATGTCTGTCTCTAACTTTGTGAAATTGTCTGTCAAGTGGAGTTGGTCACTGAGCACTGTCTGTCTTATCTCTTAGTTATTTAAAGTTTATTATAACATGTTAGTTTCTGATTGTGTGTTTTTCATAGATGAAATCAGATACCACTGAAGGAGTTGATGTTCCAAAGAAACCTAGACTGGAGAAACCAGAAACACGGTCCTCTCCCATTACTGTGCAAACCAGCAAGGATTTAGCTATGGCTGACCTTTCCAGTTTTGACGAGACCAGTGCTGATGATTTTGCCATGGAGATGGGATTGGCCTGTGTTGTTTGTAGGTAAGTTGTACCTTGCCATGGATTCTTTTGTTTCTTTCTAAAGAGCAAACAATGAAGCAAAAAAGAAAACAGACCAATTACTGAGTAATTTTTATTTTGTTTTTATTATTTGTAGGTGGGTAGGAGATAAGTAGATTGTTTCCTATTAACTGCCCATATAGCAGTTACTTCTTGAAAATTGTTCAATATTTTATTTTCCTGGCTGTGGCCTCTTTAATCTGTTGTGTTGTAATAATATTTGCTGAGTTCTCGGATTCTAGAGAGAGAACAATTATTTCTTTATTCTTTAGTGAGGAAGAGTTTGTTTAGCAGATGCAGTTATTTCCATTCTTTTTTAGGAAGTCTGTGTTATTCTATCTCCTAAATAGTTGGTAGTACTTATAAAGTAAACTGTTATATATGACTTCTTAAAACATAATTAAATCTTTTCCTAAGGGTAATGGAATGAAATAAATGGGTCATGTAGATTACTCTGAGTGTTGTTTTAAAACATTGATACATTGGTATAAAAACATAGAGAAATTATGATTTTATATAGGAGTAAATATACCTTTAAGAATAAATGTTTTCAAATTGTTCTAGTAGATACTCAGAAGGAGGATTTCTGAGTTGTACACCTGAAACTTATATAATATTATTAATCAAGGTTACCCCAATAAGTTTAATTAAGTTTTTAAAAAATCAGAATGACTAGATTTTAAACCTTTTGATGCCATGGGTTATATTTTTAATTGTTAATGGCTTTCACTGCCTAGCACAACAGAAAAGATTGCCATCTTTGTTACGGTTTTCTTCATTAAAATGTTAAATTCTAAAATGCTGGGGCTGAGTAAATAACTATAAATTTTTGTGAACTTTATTTTTTAAGTGATTCTGGGATTTTTAAAAAAAATTTTATTTATTTTTTGATAGAGGGGAAAAGAGGGAGAAAGAGAGGGAGAGAAAAGAGAAATGTTGATGGGTTGCTTCTCCTATACACCCTGCCTCGGGATCAAGCCCACAACCTAGGCATGTGCCCTGACCGGGAATCAAACCAACAACCTCTTGTTTTATGGGACAACACCCAACAACTGAGCCACAGTGGTCCAGGCAACTTTTATGAACTTTAGACCTGACCATGTTATATATACTTCTGAATGGGATCATTTTTTTAGAGCTTCATTTTTTTCACATATACTTACTTCAAATCTTAATAAGTTTATTTACCATTAAAGTTACTATTCTTCAATAAAGAAATAAATGGTAAAGTAATAATGAGGAGAGAACTGGTACTGTAACCTTCCATCAGAAACTTATTATGATAGTCTAAGGCTATGATGATTGCTTTTTGTGCTATTGGGATTTATACTTTCTTAATACACATTTTGCTACCTTCTATTCAATTGATAAAACATCTATGTTTTGAACACCCTTTGTCTGCACAGTCATGTGCTAGACACTTTATGTTAGGTCCGGGTCCCACCTTTAGGCAACTCATATGTTAATGAGGAATATAGAACATGTAGGTAACAAATATAAAGGAATTTAATAGAGGTACAAAGAAGATGTTGTGAGACAGAGGACTAGCCAAAGTCTGCTTACCTTCTGGGAGAAAAAAAAAATATTACAGGAGAAAGACAATGAGAATGTTGCCAAATTTAGTTACTAAGGCACCTTATATATATTTTTAGTGGTTGAGCATAACCTTTAAAAGAAATGGAGTGTTTGTATCATCTACACTTGGGGGGTTTTATTTTGCTCTTTTATTTTCTGGGATTTTTAGTCCTCTTTAATAGACCAAACTTTCCCAGAACAAGCCAAAACTGGCTTTAAATTGTTGCATGCATTCAAATAAGTGCAATGTCTAATGTTTTATTTTCTTAGGCAAATGACAGTGGCATCTGGTAATCAATTAGTAGAATGTCAAGAGTGCCATAATCTCTACCACCAAGATTGCCATAAACCCCAAGTGACAGACAAGGAGGTGAATGACCCTCGCCTTGTATGGTATTGTGCCCGATGTACCAGACAAATGAAAAGAATGGTAGGAATAAATTTTGTTGATATAGCTTTTCAGGATAAAATTTTGAATTATTACAGTATTGAAAAGATAAATCATATAAGATGATTATTTAAATGTTTATGTATATAGTGTATATGTTTGATTTATGTTCCAATGCTTAAAGGCCAGACTGTAATATGCATTTTTCTCTGTTCTGTTTTTAGCCTATCCTAATATAGATAAACAGATTGAAGTTCCATACAATATGAATATTTTTTTACTAGTATTTCAGTGTGTTTCTAAACATTTAAAAATACTATAATTAGCTGTGGGAAATGGTGAGATACAAAGCCCTAGTTTTTGATGAGTCTAGTGGGAAAATATTGAAAATGTCTATTCCTGAGTGAGCTCAAACTACCAAACTTACGGTTGTGTACAAGGGAAATTTTGTAAGTGCTTCCCTGTCTTTGCATCTGTGCCCTCTATTACTCTTTCCTTCTCATTGTCTTCAAGGGACCATTTACCCTGTTTTCCCATTGTACTTGCTTTGTGTACTGCTCAAAAATATAACCGCCTTTAATGTCAGACTGAAACATGATTTCATTTGTTATATTGGATAGTTTTCGACTTTTATTCACTTAAAAAGTAGAGAAAGGAGCTTCATCATTTTCTTTTTAAAGAAATCAAGTTATTTACTTTGGTGGCTTGTTTAATTCCCGCATCCCTTGTCTTCTCCCTTAGATTAGGGACTCGTTAATAAATGAATTTCTACATAAATTTTTCTGACCAAATATATCTTTTTAAAGTCAGAAGTACTTAGTTAACAGTGAAAAAGCAAGACATCTATTTTACTTTTTAATCAGTTAAATCAGAAATAAGAAATTATTTTATTTATTCCTATGAAAAATAGTAAATTTTCAGTACTAGGTATACTTTTCTTCTTAATAGGAAATTTCTGTGACAAGATACAGTTTTCTTTGCTCAGCCTGATTTTTAATTAATTTATTATTTAAAGTAACCTTTCAGGACCTCAAACAATATGATTATGGTTATGAAATATAGTGCATTCCAGGGCATTGGCAGATGTAGTCACTAAGAATTGGTAATAGCCAAAATAACTAATTTGTGACAGTAATCTGTCTTTCTTTAGTATATCTTAAAGTTTTATCATTTTCATTTCAATGTCTCTTAATAAAGAATAAAGTAAGCACTGTTCTAAGCCCCCTCCTCCATTCTTTATGACTTAATTTACACCAAATCTATATTTATAATTCTAACCATCTTTCTGGAGTCAATTTTGGCAGCTGATGAGATATCCTTCAGTTACTTCAAGTCTAACAACTCTGAAATTAAAATCGTTCTCTTTTCCACTCAATTTTTCCCCCATTTGCCTCAACTAGAAAACATTATCATTTATATCTCTCTTAATTACATATCCTGTTGTTTACTAAATTTTTAATTCCTCTCCTTATATATTTCTCATATCTATTCATTTTGCTCTTATTATCCAATTCCACAAATCTCTTATTTCTTATCTATTACTTAAGCCTCTCTCAAGAGGTCTCCTTGCTTCCCTTCAACCCACTCTACTCACTACAATTAAAACAATTAGAATTATGCTTCTAAATTATTTATCTAACTTTTACCTGTTAAAATATGCCCTGTGGCTTTCAATTACTAATGAAATGAGATTATACTCATTTGGGTGGACATGGACCTTATTTCTTTGACTCAAGTCTAGTTTTGTATTCTCTTTCCTACCACTTCACCATATAGCCCATACATTCAGGCTCTGCCAGACTAAGTATATGATTTCCTAAATATGTGGTGAATTTTCATGTTCCCATTTGTTCTGCTTCTCATATTCTTCTCATCTGGAATATCTTTTATTCTTTATCATCTTCACAGATTAAATGTCTAATGTATTTATCAGTAAGATCATGTCTTATTCATTGGCATAGCACCAGAGCAGAGCTCAGCACTGGACATGTCTAACATTTCTCTTGTTCTCATTTTAAGTTATGTATAATGAAGGAAATGTGGATTAGTACCAGAAATCAACAGTCAATAAGTTTAGGCTGTGTGTCTGAGAATCAAGGTACTAAATGGGAGCCATGACTAATATTAGAAAAGTGATTAGAATATACCAAGATTGGACCTGGGGAAAACCAAAAGGCATAATCTGAAGTCACCTTGAATATCTAGATCCAGTAAACACCAGGTTTATGAGAGAGAGAAATTTGGAAGCAATGGGGATGCTAAACCCAGTCATTCTAACTATAATTGCTTTCAGTGAGGTCTTCATGTGTGCATTGGTTATTGTTCCAAGGTGTTCTCAAGTTTCCTATAAATAGCATCTCATGTCCTCTTTCTCCTTGCACCACTTTCTCCAGCTAGGGCAGGTTCTACAGTACACATTATTATAGAAGGTCATAGACAAGAATGTTGTGGTAGTGTGTGTCAGGGGCAAAGGTCATTCTTCAGTTCTGTAATTTTCTCTCTACCAGGAAATGGGTTTTGCCTCAGCACTAGGTAAGAGATTCACGTGACTTACTGCGGTGGTTCTCAATCTAAGGTAATAACACACCTCAGCAGCGTTTAGAAATATGCGGTGTTTGTGATTGCTGCTTTACTGGCAGTTAATGCCCTAAGTGGAGAATTATATACATTCTTCAGTGTGTGAGGCAGTCACCCAGTGAAAAATTATAGTGCCTTTGTTGAGCAACACTAAGTCAGTGATAATATCCTAATTCCCTAAACTAGTATTACTAACCAAGGGCAAAGACTTCGGGGTATTTCTTACTCAACTTCTAAGATGGCTGGGTGAAATAGAGAAAACAGAAGATTTGAACATGCTCTCCTAGGCATAGGTCCTTTTTGGGCTTCATTGTAATGAAGTATCTGCTAAAGCATGCACTTTAGGTCGGTCTTCGGAGTCTAACCTCTGGAATAGTAGGTGAGGGTGGAGAGAAGTGTAAGATGGAAAGCCATGGCTATCGAACCATGTATTTCTGATGAACTCTTGAGGGCTGCATTCTGATAACATGGTTTTGCAATAGAAAGTAAGCTTTTCTGCTGGTAAGAGATGTTTTACCACAATCTTCCAGCATTCTTAATATTCTTGATCTGCATGTTACTTTATAAACGATGTTTGAAAGTAGGTGCACTTTCACGTGGAAAGTATGTAATATAAAAATGGTAATGAATTGAGACATGAAGGACCAAAATTATAAATAATACAGCAAACCATAGCAAAAGATTCCACAAGAAGGTCCAAACAAGGATAAAAGTCTATATTCAAACCTTCAGAAATGAGAACAAATTATTAATAAATTTCCTATATGATCTTACTAGGATATCAAAGACAATGGAATGGCTGGGAGCAATTTTGCTATTCAGTATGGATAGATTCTTCCAGATTCCTTATACTTTGTAAATAATTACAGTGAATAAATAGTAACTATTGTCAGCACTCAGCATACTCCAGGCTCTGTGCTAAATGCATATATAATTATAATTCATCCCCATAACCCACATTTGAAACAGGTAGTAAAGTACCTAGTTATAAAACAGGAGAAATTAATTATGGGTCAAAATAAAACTAAATATACTTGTAAAGGAACAATGAATGCAAATTCCTCTTTGATAACATAGAAATTTGTATTTGTGAACTTTCTCTAAGAATTCAGTGTGCCTAGTTTTAACAGTGTGGGAACACCTCAAAAAGCTTCGTCGCTTATCACTAATAGTTTTTATCCCCCAGTCTTTATTTAAAACCATATAATTTACCTTTTAACTACCTTTTAGTTAACTTACTCTGAAGTGCTCAGAGACTTACGCCTGAACCCCAAGAAGAAAACTACTAAGTCTTTGCCCAACCATAATAAGAAATAAATGTACCCCATTACAGTTACAAATAGTTTGTGATTTTCCTTTTTTCAAAAAACAGTTTGGTTTGTCTTGTTAAAATTGGTATTTAATCCACCCTAATCTGCATGATTTCTACAGCTTTTATCTTTACTATTTAGAAACTAATAAAATGTAAAAAGCATTAATATGGTGACCAAAATAATTCCTCTGCATTTATACTTTTAGTGTAATCACAATATTTTTTAAAAGCTCAACTATATTTCAACTAAATGAAGAGTATTGTGATAGATTTTTTTATTGTCTTTTTCTCTGCATTCAAATAAGATTTTATAGCTAATGTAATCTTAACTGATTTTTACAGGCACAAAAAACTCAGAAACCACCCCAGAAACCAGCCCCCGCAGTTGTTTCTGTAGCTCCCGCTGTCAAAGATCCATTGGTTAAGAAACCAGAAACTAAACTCAAACAAGAGACAACTTTTCTAGCATTTAAGAGAACAGAAGTCAAGGTACAGTACATTTATTTTTATTTAAGATTATCTAAGATTTCATTTTAATTTAGTTGACTAAACAATAGTAACTTGAGAAAAATTAATGAGGAACTTTATATACTAATTGGCCATATGTGGGAAATTAAGATTGCATTATATTAGCATTAGGTAGAAAGGGAACATTTATATAATTATTTAATCTCTGTGCTATTTCTCCTTTTCTCACAATTTGGAACTGTCCATGAGCATTGCAAGTTGACATTCTTTACCATTTCTATGTAGTTAGACACTTACCTCCATGAAGAATTTGATTAAGATTCTAAGCATCTCTGCCTTCAGTAGCAACAACTTTGCTCCTCATTTTACTTGTGCTGATTACTTGTGACTCCATAGCTTTTTTCTCTCTACCTGTTGGCTATCGAAGAAGTTTTCTTGTTTTGTCTTTTTTTTTTTCTTTGATTGTCTTGAGCTTTGAAGGTACCTACCTGTATACTTAGGGACCAGATTATTTAGTGAGAGTATCACCCTTCTCATTCCCAGGTTTGCATCCATGAATTCACACTACATTATTTTTAATATCCAGACATTTTGATATCATGGAAGAAAATATTTTTCTAATCTAACTTTATAACAAAATGAATGTTTTTCCTGAGTTGTACATTTTAATTTTGAGTACCAAAGATGAAAGAAAAAAACATTAGTCCCAATTTTCAAAGGTTGACCCCAGAAAATTCTAAAGTTGACTATATAATTCTCAGTGACTATAAGTAACAAAGATCAAGTACCTTGGGATGATGATAAAGAATGTGAATGTAAAGTACTCTGAGGAAGATACTAATTATTTTATTTGTAGATCATTTTTAAGATTTAATTTACTAGGAAGAGTCACTATCCAAGGGATATTTATTATTGATTTGTAACCTAGAAACTTGATGAATTGGAATAGAAGTAAGAATAGTTTATTGAAAGTAATTAGAGTTGCTTTATTCTATATCTAAGTCACTTTTAGGTAGATTTTTTATACTGACCTGTTACTTCGAAAGTTGATTTTTAGGCAGTCCAATATAACATCATTTTATGGCAGATCAGGTAAGGCCTTGGCTATCATGTTTGCTCTGCTTAAGAGGATTTGGCGTGTTTATGATAAAAGTGGATAAATTTTTACTATGAAAAGAACTGTTCTCATATAAAGAGCAAATGGTTTTCTAACGAGTATAATGGGCAAGAAGATATTTATAGTTAAAAACAGTTGAAAAATCTATACACTGAAATAGTAAGGAATTACTTGGTATCCATTTTACATGAGTGGCCTCATAGTATTATAAGCCATCTGCCATTTGGTTGAAAAGCAATACTAGTAACAGCAAGCCATTAAAATAAAATGCCGTACACACAGAACCTGCTTTCTCATTCGTACTTCATAATTGTTGGTCTTTTTAATTACTTAAGATGGGTTTTCTTTTATGAAGTCTGTTGATAGATCATTTAGCCATATGGCACACAGTTTTATGTTTAACAAAAAGAAAAGGAAAAAAATTAGATCTTTCAGACTAAAAATTAAAAGTTTACTATACCTGTGTCCTTTTGCTTCCTTGACTTTTTCTCATTACCTATATTCAATTTCTCTAGGAATTTATAACTTATGTAGTTTATCTTTTCTTGATAAACTTATAAGATATTTATGATATTGTAACAAAAACTATCATTTTCACAACATGTGAACAAAAACCTAGGTTTCTCCTCTTAAGAAGTAAAAATCTCAGAGCATTCTATTTTGATTACTTTTCACTTGGTTAAAAATGTTTACATGCCAACAGTATTGAAGGCTACATTATAAAAACTTGATATATTTTAGATGTTATAACTACCATATTTTTAAGTATAATACTATTTGCAATGCTTTATTTTTTACCTATGTGTGAATTTAACACTTTTGTGAATTTTCTTAAGAGTGTGAAGATAGAAGGTGTGCCACTGAGAAGTTCAATTCATGATTAATTTAACCCAAATGTGAAGGTGAAAAATTATTGTACTTCTCTAAGAGCCATGTTATTTATACAGTGATACTGTTATCACTGTTAGCTTTTGACTGGCTAAGGCAGTGAATTAGAGAAATTGAAGAGTTAACCTTTGTGAAATACATTAAGGAACGAGTCAGACCTTCCCAGAATGTCACTGTATGGCTTATAAAGCAGTTGACAGAATCCTTTATACAGAAGCAGGGATACCATGTGATAGTTTCAGTGGAAACATGGACAAATAGTGAATGAAAATAAAGTCATGAGACCTTTTTTATGTCGCCAAAGTCGTGCAATTCCAAGTAGTTAACATTGCATATCTGTATATATTTTACAGTACAGTAACTATTTGCAAGAGTGAAGTCTATTTTTATTCCATTTATGAAATTATCCATAAGTCATTTGGAGCAAAGTCTAAAGAATTAGATATTTTTACTGAACCAGATAATACCTTTTTGGGTGACGACAAGTTAAAGCATTAAATCTGATTTTCTGATATGGCTTATAACTGAATCTAAAAGCAATTCTCAAAAAAGAAAATTATATATATATTTAATTTAGATATACAAATATATCTAAATATATATATGTAGATAGATAGATAGATAGATGGATAGATAGATGTTTATATATATAAAGTCAGTGGAACAAGAATATGGCATCCCTAAATTTCTGCTTTGGAAATGGTAGATCCCACTAGCTATGGATAAATTTTGTTGTGTTTTTTTTTCAGATCAGTTTTATAATAACTTAATTTTGGTAGTGTGATTTAAATTTCCCAAGTCATTAAAAAGCTTGTTATATATTTCAGAATATTATTTTAGGTGTTAATTATATTTGGCTTTAACAAAATATGTATCCTCTTTTTAATTTTTTAGACATCCCCGGTTATTTCAGGAAACTCTTCTAGTACCAATGTTTCCTCTTCAGTAACTGGTGGCCTAACGGCATGGGCAGCTTTTGCTGCCAAAACTACTTCTGCTGGTCCATCAACAGCAAAATTGAGTTCAACAACCCAAAACAATAGTGGGAAACCTGCTACCTCATCAGCTAACCAGAAGCCTGTGGGTTTGACTGGTCTGGCAACTTCATCCAAAGGTGGAATAGGTTCCAAATTAGGTTCCGGTAACAACACTTCACCCACTGTACCATTGAAACCACCTCCACCTCTAACTTTGGGCAAAACTGGCCTTAGTCGCTCAGTTAGTTGTGACAATGTTAGCAAAGTAGGTCTTCCTAGTCCAAGCAGTTTAGTTCCAGGAAGCAGCAGCCAACTAAGTGGAAATGGAAATAGTGGGACATCAGGGCCTAGTGGAAGTACCACCAGCAAAACCACTTCAGAATCAAGCAGCTCTTCCTCGGCATCCCTTAAAGGTCCAACGTCACAAGAATCACAGCTCAATGCCATGAAGCGATTGCAGATGGTCAAGAAGAAAGCTGCCCAAAAGAAACTCAAGAAGTAATGTGGCCGAGTAGGTTAATGTCACATTACCCTAAGATTAAAATCTTATTATTAGGACATAAATTGTAATATACTATAATTTAATAAAAATCTTCATAATGAAATTTCTATTATTTCTTACCTTAAAATGCTAAATTTTATTTAGAAAGACTTGAAAATCTTTATTTTAAATCTGTTTAACAGTTTTATTTTAACAATTTCCAATGGTATTGGAAAATAATGATTATAATGGCTAATTCTTAATGAGAACTTTCAGAATCCCAGAAGACAGGTAGCATATGTGAATTAAAAACCAAAAAAAGCAGTGATTTGTGCATCTTCTAACAAAGGCCCAAGAATTGATTCTGCTGAGTAAAGTGCCTTCTAAGGTGGCAGGGATGATCCACTATAAAGTTTCCTGCATCCCCCTAATATTCTTCATAATCAGTATCAGTCCCCAGTCTCATTTCAATTGATTCCCCCAAAATAGTTCATTTCTCTTTTTTCAAAATTAATTTTTCATAATTGATTTCCGTTATCATATATCTTTACCTTTTTATCACCTCATATGAATTATCTCTTTCAATAGATTGTGATCTACCATGTCCTTTTATTTTTAAGTCTTTATTTTTATTTTAGAGAAAGGGGAAGGGAGGGACAAAGAAGGGGGATAAACATCAATGTGAGAAACATCGATTGGTTGCCTCTCATGTGTTCTCTGACGAGACCAGACCCACAACCCAGGCATGTGCCCTGTCCGGGGATCAAACTGGCGACTTTTTGCTTTGCGGGACGGTTGCGGCACCCAACCAACTGAGCCACACCAGTCAGGGCTACCATGTCCTTTTAATGCAATGCTTTTCTCACATGCCCACATTTCCTTACATTGCCAACGCAGCATGAACATAGTGTACCGATGTATGTAATAAATTGTGAATTTTGATCTATCCTGGTTACACGCATTTTTGAGAATTGAGAAAAATACCCATTCAAGAATCTGGATGGCTAATATCTATCTACTCATTTACATCCTGATAGTTGCTTCTTCCTATACCATGAAAAATAAGTCTTTTATTTTTACTGCCCCCAAATGTTACAGCATTTTATCTCATTTTAATTAACTTTATATAAAAGTAGCTCCTGTATAATTATTGAGATTTTTTTGAAGTATGCAGGTGTACATTGTTAGCTTGCCATTTTTGCAAGCTAACAAATAGAACTGCCATTGTTTTACGAATAGATTCTGAAAAGAGACATGAGGCTTTCTGGATCATAGAAACCATTTATCGTTCACAGTAAAATGCAGCAGCCATTTTGTACTTCCTGAATACCTCATTTCATCCAAAACAGGCAGTCTAACAGATTCCCATATTCACTAGACTGTAAACTGGAAGTCCAGAAAATTCCCACAGTCTTTCAAACTTTGATGTGTGCCACTAAATCTTTTTTTTTTTTTTATGTTCACTATTTATTTACTGAATTTATTGGGGGTACAGGTTTTAAGCATGCAACTCAATTAAAACACCATCTGCACACTGCATCCTGACCCATCACTCAAGCAAAGTCTCCTTTGGTCCCTATTCCCCCCACCTTTGCCCACCTCCATCTACCCCCCACTCACCTTTCCATCTGGGTGTCACCACACTATTGTCTGTGTCTATGGTTTTTTATATAAATACATATTTTTTGCTTAATCCCTTCACCTTCTTTCATCCAGTCTCCCCAGCCCCTCCCCTCTGACAGATGTCAGTTCATTCCATGTAGCCATTCCTATGTTTCTGTTTTGTTAATCAGTTCATTTTGTTCATCCACATATAAGTGAGATCATATTTGTATTTGTCTTTCTCTGGCTTATTTCACTCAGCACAATAATCTCTGCGTCTATCCATGCTGTTATAAAGGGTAAGATTTCCCTCTTTTTATGTGTGCCACTAAATCTTCACTCTACAGCCTCTAAAAATCCTTTCCTTTATCCCCTACATTTTTAGGGCATCATTATTCTAAAATACATTGATAAATGATGTCTCTGAAGATAAAGTTTTTTTAATTAAGCTTGGCCTTTTTATAAGAAGAGATTACTTTAAACCTGCCTGTGAAATTATGGGACTAAATTATTCATGATAAATTAGAAATCAAGATTGAGGTACTTATAAAGTGGAGTAAACATCTTTTACATGTTTAAAGTCTGCCTGCAGATGTTTTTGTTTTGACAAACAGGTTGCTGTTTAAACATCAATTTGGCATTGGTCTCAAATTCCCTTTAGCATCAAACGATTATATATATAATATATATAAATATATATTATTTTTACTTATATATAAATACATTATATATCATACATATAAATTATATATATAAAAATAATTTGTAGTTTAGGGGCAGTTTGGACTAAACTGGACAAAATGGCCTGATACAAGCTCCGCTCAACAACTATGTTATGTTATGTAACAGCTAACATAACCTCAGCACGTAGAAAACCTTAAAGCAGTAGTGCACATAGTTTGCACATTGGCACTTGAAATATAAAATTTTATCCCATGGGTGCTGGGTAGATTTGAGAAGCAATTATTTTAATTTCTACAGTACTTCAGAGAAAGACTTAGAAGACTTGTTAAGGAAGTCATTTATCTTTTCTTGAGTATCGTTCTTTGTGAATATAAATACTTGTATATATTTAGAATTTGTGCATATATAAGTATTCATACCTCTAATAATGCGAAATTCAGGTTGGTATTGTTATATATGTGTATTTGGTATTAGAGTTTAATTGTCTTCAAGTAGCTCTTAGACCCTGATTTTTCCATTTCATTAAGTGAGCTCCAAGGCATTTTATCTTAGCATGTGATGAAATGGCCAGCTTTATATTAATAATTATCATTTAATTTATTTTGTTATGTGTAATTTGTTTTTCCCACTAGGATTTAAGTTGTATGAGGGCAGGGACTGCGTTTGTCTTGCGCACTCCCACTCCCACTACAGCTCTCAATAAATATGTATTGGCTCAGTGAATGAATAGACAGATAATTAGGTGAGCCAGAAAGTAAGCTTTTAGGATTGTATGATTCAGATCCCTTTTTAGTAGAAATCTATTCAGTATCATTTTTCTGTTTTGCATATTGTGCTTACTGTAAAATTATAGATTTTAGTGACTTTAAAAAAGGGAGAAAAAAGGAAAATATTACATTGAAAGAATATTGGCCTAGAGTCAGGAGACTTGTTTTAAATTCCTGTCCCCCCATGTATTAGCTGTGTGATCCTTTGTTTTCTCCTCTTTAAAAGATAGATGATAATGAGATAAAATTGAAGACATCTAATATTCAAAATTTAGGTGATTCTACCTGCTAATGAGGATGTGGTAGTACTGTCTATTAGTAACTGATATTATAAATTGTGATGACTAGGTTATAGGAAATACATCATTTTACAGAAATTTTTATTAATGTAATATAAAAATTTTATAAGCCAGTAGAGAAAACCATAAATGCAATAGCATACCATAATAATGATTTTAAGTGAGGTAAGTTTAATTTATTAAGAATACGTCCTCTAGATTTTTTTTTAACAAGAACAGATCTATATGCTAGCACTACAGGCTAAAGTATGACTTGTTTTCCTGAAAATCTAAAGCAAATCTTGTATCTAGGTAGAGTGTAATATCATGAAAGCTGTAGCTGGCCTCAGAGACTCAGCTTGAATTCTAGTAGGTTGGAGTGAAGATAAGCTATACTGGAATAATTTTGTAGATCACAGAAAATTTTAATGACCTAATTTATGGATTACGTAGTATGTATCAGAGGAGAGAGATTATTTAAAAATTAGGTTTCCAAAATACTACTATGTCATGACTAGTAGGATATCCCTAAAAAGTATGAAATCTAGTGTCCTTCCAGTCCATGAAATATAATTACTTTCTCACCATGAATAATGTAAACATATATCCAATTTAGCTTGAATTTGTGAGGTCTAGATGTATTGAGTGTTGAACAGTGCATTGAATACCTTTAAGCCATAGTTAAACAGGATCTAAACAAAGTGGGGTGGGCTTTTTATCCCATCTTAGAATATAAAGATTTCCCCTCTTCACATAAATTTAACAGGCTTTTGCAATGGACAAAAGGAAGCTTAGGGAAAGTGAAAAATTTTTAATTCCATGTTTCAGTAGTGCAAACTAATTTTTGTAAATCATCTGAACCGTTCATCACAGGTAATGACAGGCACTTAATAGCCACCTCTAAATGTCCAAATTATATTCTAGACAAAATATGGACTACACTAATACTTAAAGTATTTTCTGCAGTGGTGCGTTCATGATTAACAATGTGCATTACATCTCTGCTGCCAAAGTCAGCCTTCATAGAATTGTTTTACACTAATGAATACTAAAACAAGATTATTTTTCTGAAATATGAGGAATGTTCAAATAGTGGCTTTGTAGCTTTTTCTCAAGATTTAAGCACCTATGGTAATTTGGTATTACTGGAGTTTTAAAAATAATTTCTAAATCTTATGTATATTGTTAATTTAGATCACCTATTTAAAAATAAATTCTAGATAAAATTTATATATACACTTATTTGTTTTACAAAGAAAAATAGCCACAAAAATTTTCTCTTTGTTCTTGGTAAAATACCTATTTCAGAGAATTCTTCACTGTACAATAATATTTCATTTTAAAATGTAAAAACTAATTACATTAGCATATCTCACTGACAGTTTTATTTTTTAAAACTTTTTGAAAACTTACACACACCTTATCTATCTTGGGATTTTATTTCTCTTAAGCCAAACCAAGAGATGCCTGGCCACAAAATTACAATTATTTGATTTAATCAACACACAATAATGAGGGTAGTGTGTAATGTAAAAAATAGTAAATAAAGCTTAAATGCCATGTGAAATGTAGGTTATATTTTTACAATAACAACAACATAATTTTACAGTAATACATGTTCAGCACAATAGTGGGGGCCTGCAGTGGGTGGCTTCCTACTGCTCTGGCTCAGCAGCCGACTGCAGCTCCGAGTTTAATGCTGTGGTTTCTCCACAGGTCAGACCAGAAGCATCAGTCCTAGGACCACACAAGTAGACCAAGCTTTTCATGTATATTTAGTCAATATTTCAGCA